CCTTGCTAATAAAAACCCGACAGGGGAAAAAAATTAGTCAAGGGAAAAAGAGTACATGATTTATAAAAATTCATGTGTTTTACTAGCTGCCTCATTAAAAACCTTTAACTAATAAACCCAATGGGAAAAACTTAGTTAAGGAAAAAAGAGTACAGCACTTGGTCTTCAGGACCTAATCTTCGGGATTATTTTGAGTTCGTCCCTCCCCCTGAAGACAATAGTCTTCCAAGTTTACGCATACCAATACCATAAATGTATTTTTCAAAAGTAGATGTAGGAAGGGATTTGGTGAATAGATCTGCCAAATTCTCGCTAGATCGTACTTTTTGTATAATAATTTCACCGCTCTTCTGGAGCTTGTGTGGGTAAAAGAATTTTGGAGCAATGTGTTTTGTCATGCTTCCTTTGACGTACCCACTACTCATTTGTAAAACACAAGCTGCATTATCCTCGTAAAGGACAGTGGGGGTTATATCATTTGTAATTCCACATGACCCACGAATATGTTGGATTAAAGATCTTAACCATACACATTCTCGTGAAGTCTCGTATAAAGCAATTATCTCTGAGTGGTTTGAAGATGTAGTAACCATAGACTGCTTAACTGACTTCCAAGATATTGCAGTACCACCACAGAGAAAAACATAACCAGTCTGTGATCTAGCATTATGGGGATCAGACATATAACCAGCATCCGAATAGCCCACTAATGTCATATCTTGATATTTCTTATAAAGTAGACCAAGATCTTGTGACTCTTGAAGATACCTAAAAATATGTTTAATACCATTCTAGTGTCTCCTCGTAGGAGAAGCACTAAACCTTACTAGCAAGTTTACTGCAAATGCAATATCAGGCCTGGTGCAATTTGCAAGATAAAGTAACGCGCCAATGGCGCTCAAGTAAAGAACTTCTGGTCCTAAATTTTCTTCGGTATCTTCTTTAGGTCTAAATGGATCCTTATCCGCTTCAAGGGATCGGACAACCATTGGTGTGCTGAGTGGATGAGATTTATCCATGTAGAATTTTTCTAAAACCTTCTTCAAGTAGGTTGACTGGTGTACAAAAATTCCTTCAGGGAGATGCTCGATCTGCAGGCCGAGGCAATATTTGGTTTTACCCAAATCTTTCATTTCAAACTCCGTCTTTAGGCATAAGCTAGCTTTATCAAGCTCCTCTCGTATGCCAATTATATTTATGTCATCAACATAGACTGAAATGATGCAAAAACCATTCGATGACTTCTTTATAAACACACAGGGGCACACGTCGTTATTCACATAATTATTTTTCAACAGAAACTCACTCAGCCGGTTGTACCACATTCTACCCGACTGCTTTAAGCCATATAATGACCTTTATAATTTAATGCTATACATGTTGCGTGTTTCATTTTCCCTTATTTCGGGAACCTTTAATCCTTCAGGGATTTTCATATATATATTAGTGTCTAATGACCCATATAAATATGCGGTCACGACATCCATTAACTGCATATATAAATTCATAGTTACTGCCAGAGATATCAAATAGCGGAACGTTATTCCATCCATTACAGGAGAATATGTTTGATCAAAATCAATACCGGGTCTCTGCGAAAACCCTTGAGCAACTAATCTCGCTTTGTATCTCACCACCTCATTATTTTCATTTCTCTTTCGTACGAACACCCATTTATATCCTACTGGGATAATATTTTGAGGTGTACGCGCAATAGAGCCAAAAACTTTTCGTTTATTTAGCGAGTCTAGTTCGGCCTCAGTTGCCCTCTTCCATCTTACCCAATCGGAGCGCTTCCGGCACTCTGTAATTGATTTAGGTTCTGGGTCCAGATTATTAGAGATGGTAAAGGCAACTATAGAGGCAAATGTGTCGTCGACGACTATGTTACTTCTATTATAAGTTTCTCCTGTATCAACAAAATTCATAGCTACTTCAATATTTACATCAACCAGATCTTCATCATTTCCCAATATATTATGATCTGGATGTTCCGCAATCCTAGTAGTTTTATTATTTGTTGCACGTGCATTTAAACTAGGATTTTCGCCTTCTGGACGATTCTCTTCTGGAGATTTCAGGAGTGATTCAATATTTTTATTAAATTTTATTTTCCGTGGATTATTATCTTTTGTACCAACGGGCCTCCCACGCTTCTGGCGTAGAGAATCTTCAGGAATATTAGATTTCTTGGGGGCTTCCACTCGTTGTGGAGCATTTATCAAAGGTACATGAGATTTGGTCACTCCTTTATGATCAGTATATGCATCTGACAGATTATTTGCTAAATATGGCAAATTAATTATCTTTTGAACTTCAAGTTCAGCTTGATTAGTGCGTGGATCTAAATATTGTAGATTTGGTTCGTTCCAAGAAATTTCTCGGCATTTATTTAAGTTTGGGCTTTTATCTCCCCCTAATGCCGGAAAATTCTCTTCATCGAATATGCAGTCAGCGTACCGAGCTGTAAATTGATCCCCAGTCATTGGCTCTAGGTATTTTAGAATAGACGGAGATTCATAGCCAATATATATACCTAGCTTTATATGAGGGCCCATAGAGGTACGCTGCGGTGGTGATATAGGAACATAGACTGCGCAACCAAACACTCGCAGATGGGAAATGTTAGGTTCTTTACCAAGTAATCATGATATGCAGTTGGTCCGATTTGAATTAGGGCAGCAGCATGTAAAATTGCATGTCCCCAACATGAAATTGGTAAGTTGGAATTTTGTAACAATGGTCGAGCAATTAATTTGATGCGCTTAATGAGTGATTCGGCTAGACCATTTTGTGTGTGGACATAAGTTACCGGATGCTCCACTTTGATGCCCAATGACATACAATAATCATCAAAAGCTTTCGATGTAAATTCGCCGGCATTATCCATTCTAATGGTTTTAATTTGATAATCAGGAAATTGAGCTCTTAATTCAATAATTTTAGCAAGGAGCTTTGGAAAAGCCTGATTTCTAGTGGATAATAAACACACATATGTCCATCGAGTGGAAGCATCTATCAAGACCATAAAATATCGAAAAGGTCCCGAAGTGGGATGAATAGGACCACATATATCACCTTGAATCCGATGAAGAAACATAGGAGATTCAATTCTAACTTTAGTACGTGAAGGTTTTAATATCAATTTTCCCTTTGCACAAGCATCACAAATAAATTCTTTAAAAGAAGGGAGACTGCTGCTTGATACGGTATGCCCAATAGAGTTAGAAATAATCCGACGCATCATACTAAGCCCAGGATGACCCAATCGCTCATGCCATAATTTAAATAAATTTGGGTCTTTAAATTTTAAGCTCAATGCAACATGATTAATAGAAGGTCGAATGTAAGTATGGTACAAGCCTGAGGAGAAAGAGGGAAGTTCTTCTACAATTTGCTTTTGACTGTCGTGTGAGTAAGTCATAAGAAGATACTCTATATTATTTTCAGTCTTAGTTTCAAGATGAAAGATCGAATATCTTTAAAACTAAGGAGTGTTCTTTGTGATTCAGGGTACAAAAGCGCATCGTTAATTATTAATTCAGTACCCTTAGGTAGAGTAAGTAAAGCTCTGACGGAGCCAACTATCATGATTTTATCATGAGCAATTGTAGAAACACTCCCTTTCTTTTCATTTAAAGTTTGAAAAAAAAATTCTATTTTTCAAAATAGTGTGCGTAGTAGCACTATCGACCAGACATAAAATACCCTCTTTCTCCATTAGTTGCAAACTAATGAATGGTTGTGGTACACTAAAAGAAAAATAAAATATTATAAGCAAACATAACAATAGTCTCAATCAAATCATAGTATAATAAGCAAAAACGAACCACAATTTTGGTGATATCAGACATCGTCAAATTCTACAAAGCAAATTAAATCATTCAAGGATATTATTTTCTAAATGATAATAAATGTACTGAGATTAGAAAAAAATAGAATGAATTCCCTGAATTCTCACTACAAACAAGATGTTTGAGATTGAAAGAAGTAAATTAACAGAAAATGTTTGTATAATATTCGTATACAATATTATCCCATATTTCAAAAAAGATAATAAAATGGCTATCATAATACATATCAAATCAAATTTGTTGAATCTCACAATGAAGAACTGTATCAGATCATGATGACTTTTTGTAATTATTTTCAAAAATACGAAAGGGAAATAATTGACGAGAGTGAAGTCATCTACAGTGTATATAGTAAAAGAAGAAATTCTATTCAATAGCCAATACAAATACAATATTTAAGTATTGCTAAAATTCAATGGTCATGGAAAAACAATGATTATGGTAGGATCCATTAAATATCAAATAAACCATTCCCCATAAAACTTCTTATAAAAATTCATATAAAATCTACTAATATACACATACAACAGAAAGCAGTGATGAGAGGATGGTCATATAACAAGATAACGAATGCTCGGAATATAATTGTCTGCTAACCACTGAAACTTTTTGAATATCATGATAAACGCAACGGAAGTTTCAGCCAAATTGTTTTCCAGTTCACGATTATAAAAAAAATGAGAAAAAATTACCTTGACAGGAAAAACACGATTTTTTCCTAGGGCAACACCAAAAACGAACTAGAGCGTGCTGATAACATGTTGTAAATTGGGATCCTCAAGCATTCATCAATCCACACCAAACAAAGTAAAGAAAAAACGAGCGAGAGAACAAGAGACAGAAGAGCAGAAAAAGTCTATCTTTTATTCATCGTTATCACCTTTTTTATAGAGTTTACAAGTAAGAAGTCCTAAAACTTAATATCCCTAACTAATGGACTTCAGGCCCAATTGTCTATTAATAATGTTCATATTCATATATTTATAACAAATCTCACCCCGGCCAATACAGCGCCGTGAGCTATGATTCTCATTTGACCAGTCCATTTGGGAAAATGGGGACAAGGCAAAATTAGGGTTTTGGCGTATAATAAATTGTGGATGATAAATGGACGACGACAGAAAAATTTTGAAAAAAGCAAAAGAGTTTTTGAACGGTCAAAAGTGAAAGGAAGAAAAGTAGCAGGAGGAACAGTATAGTACAGAAATTTTAATTCGTTTAACCATTTAATTAAATATATTGCAATTATTTATGCCTTTTGGGAGGCTGAGTTCTTTTTCTGTTGACTGACTCAACAAATAGCTGTCTCTTTTTCAACATTGAGCAAAACAAGGGAAAGAGGAGAGAGGGAAAGTAGTAGACTTGCTTGCATTCAAGTTGCAGGAGGGGAATTAGCTGTAAAAGAAGTTTGGCGGAGAAGATTGTTGGTTGATTATCAGGTATGGTGGCAAAGCTCAAAGATTGGATTTTTATTTTTATTTTTTCCTGCGCTTGTTTGGAAATTTACCTAGCTGGAAAACTTCGATCTTTTGGGCAATCAACATTTCCCCTTAGTTTTTAGTTCGAAATTTTGGTACTTTGTTTGGTCGGATGTTTATTCATAGACTTCGGTGTTTATTTGGCTGGATTTTCTAGTCATGATATTTTTTTAAAAAAAAATATGATTTGTTGTTGGGTTTGTGTATATTTATTAGTTTTCGTTGGATATGTGCTTGATGTTTAGCAATTTTTACTTGGTTATAATTCTGAAAGCTTCTTTGTGTATGGGTTTTTTCATATAATCAGTCTATGTGAAGTAGATCATCCTTTGTCTATGTCCCAGATCTCGCTTTCCCGTTTGTTTTTGTTTCATCAAATCTCAGTTTCAACTTGACAGAACTTTGTCTGAACTAGATTATTCTTTGTGTTAATTCACAGATCTCGCTGTTTAATACTGTGTTAGTTTGTGTTCCTTTCTAATTTCCACCTTAATTTTTGTTTCTGCACATCTTATGTAGCTGAAAGAGAAAATTTTGTTATAATTCCCTGTGGTTTTGTGACTGGAAAAGTCTTAGCTTGTCTAGTTGATGTAAATATCCTCACTGGTATATTGAACAGTTGAACTGATTTTGTTGTTGAATCATTAGTTTAACCACTTTGATGTAAAAAGAAAAAGAAAAAATGACGGTGGAAGGCTTTATGCATCTCTGTGTAATTATTGCATTGCAGTTTGTGCTTTCATAAACTGGATTTATCAACTTCCCTCTAATTTATTGCATAATTATTATCCAGGTGTTGTAAATCTGAATCTTCCTTGACAATAAGAAAAGAATGACCTCAATAAATGTAGCTCCTCCATCTGGTATAAGAGATCCTACTCGGAAAAATGGTGGTTTGGATAGGCTTCCAGATGAGATGAATGAGATGAAGCTCAAGGATGACAAGGTATCAGCCTTTCTTCAATTTTGTCATTCATTCGAGTTAATTATCTAGTACAATTCATTTCTATATTGACCTGATTAAATCTTATCCTGCTTCATAGGATATGGAACCAGCTGTTGTAGATGGTAATGGAACAGAAACTGGTCATATAATCGTGACAACAATTGGTGGACGAAATGGCCAGCCAAAACAGGTCAATTTCGGTTGTTATATATATGTGTGTGTGTGTGTGTATATTATATATATATATATATATATGAACTATTTATTGAACTATTTAAAACTGGGCAAAGATTTTTATCAAGTACATAAATATGTTTTATTCCTAATTATCAGACTATCAGCTACATGGCTGAGCGTATTGTGGGGCAGGGATCCTTTGGAGTAGTATTTCAGGTGAGATTTTTATTGTTCAGGTGTACAATGAAAGGAAAATGATATGGGTTATGTGGATTTGCAGTTTTGTATATATATATATATATATATATATATATATATTAATTTTGTTTAATGATTTGGTGCAGGCAAAATGTCTAGAAACTGGTGAAACTGTTGCTATTAAAAAGGTTCTTCAGGATAAGAGGTACAAGAATCGTGAGTTGCAAACCATGCGTTTACTAGACCACCCTAATGTTGTGTCTTTAAAGCATTGTTTCTTCTCAACGACTGAGAAGGAGCTTTTCCTTAACTTGGTGTTGGAGTATGTTCCCGAGACTGTTCATCGGGTGATTAGACATTACAACAAAATGAGCCAGAGGATGCCGATGATATATGTGAAACTTTATGCTTATCAGGTAGAACCTTTTGTCATATGCATCTTGTCATTGACATTCACTGGCATTAAAAATGTCGAGTATGATAACTCACTTGTTTTAGTTAGTTTTTCACTTGCATCTTGTCGTTGACATATATTGGCACTCAAAAGCTCGAGTATGATGACTCATTTGTTTCTATTAGTCAGTTTTGTTCTTACTAGCAATGGGCTTTCAGAAAGTCTCATAAAATATCTTTCTGTGGCAGATTTTTCGATCTCTGGCATATATCCATGGTAGTATTGGTGTATGCCACAGGGACATCAAACCTCAAAACTTATTGGTAAGTGTCTTATTATATTATATGTGCTTTGTGTTTATGGTGATAAGGGAAATGGGGACTCACTGATTGCCTTGTTGTCTACAGGTAAATCCACATACTCACCAGGTCAAACTATGTGATTTTGGGAGCGCAAAAGTGCTGGTTGGTTTTCGCTCTCCTCCCTCTGATCTAAATTTTTCATAAATGTGTTCTTATTAGGCTCAATTTTGTAGGTCAAAGGAGAACCAAACATTTCATACATATGTTCAAGGTATTATCGTGCTCCTGAGCTGATATTTGGTGCTACAGAATACACTACTGCCATTGACATTTGGTCGGTTGGATGTGTTGTAGCAGAACTGTTGCTTGGACAGGTTGGTTGGTTATTATTTGTTGTCTTCTTTTTCAGTACCTTAAAAAATGTTTCTCTCAATTTTTATTTTTAATTTTTGCTATGGAAATTTCAGCCTCTATTTCCTGGTGAGAGTGGAGTTGACCAGCTTGTTGAGATCATTAAGGTAATTACAAGTCAGCTCATCCCATTATTTGCTATCAGTAATTCATTGTGGCTTATGTACTTTGTTTGCATGTAGGTTCTGGGCACGCCAACAAGAGAGGAGATCAAATGTATGAACCCAAATTACACCGAGTTCAAGTTCCCTCAAATAAAAGCTCACCCGTGGCATAAGGTATGCAACATCACTACTTGTGCTGCCTTAGGCAAGATGATTAATTTCCTCTACTGATTGTGATGCAATATCGATGTTTCAGATATTCCACAAACGCACCCCAGCAGAAGCTGTTGATCTTGTGTCAAGGCTACTTCAGTACTCTCCAAATCTGCGTTGCACGGCGGTGAGCATTAACAATTCATTTGACAAAAGAAATGTGGATTTTGTACATTAAAAAAGGAAATCAATACATTACGTGCATTCTCATGATTAATATGTGATGCTATGCCAGCTGGAGGCATTGATTCACCCTTTCTTTGATGAGTTACGTGATCCAAATGTCCGGCTACCAAACGGTCGGTTTGTTCCACCTCTATTCAACTTCAAGCCACATGGTGAGTATTGCTTGTCAAAAGATATGCTTCTTTTGTGCTTTTGCTGCCTATCTAGCTAGTGTACTTCCACGAATATCGTTATATTGAATTATTATCCCTTCTAATTTGTCTGATCAGAACTAAAAGGTGTGCCGGTTGAGTTGCTGAGCAAGCTGATCCCGGAGCACGCAAGAAAGCAATGTGCATTTCTTGGGCTGTGATGATATATACACATAACTTTATCTATCAAGGTCTCACTTATATTCTACTAAGCCGCGATTGTATCTTTGTTCAGAAGCACGTTTTCTTCTTTCACCTATGTTGTCTAGGGTTCTTGTATTTATTACAATTGATTTGTAGCCCAAGGACCAGAAAGTACTTGTGTATCTCTTAACTGACCAAATTTTTTGTTTTATTTTCAATGACTGTTAACTGCTGCAACTGTTTAATGGAAGATTGCTATTTTCTTTTGAGATCTAATCTTTTTATTGCTAATGTTTGTTTCCATACATTTATATTGGAACTACATTCCTACAAATTGCATTTATTTCTTTATGCAACAACAAATAATGTAGCAAAGATTTCTCCATAAAGGCAATCAGCATTTTATGCAGGAAATGAAGAGGAATATGTTAGTTTGAGGTGCTGTGGACCACATAATCTAACCTCCTTTTTGCGTATGCAAAGATTGGATTTGTGCACCTCATATTCATATCTCAACACCATTTTTTAAATATCATGCGCAAAGAATATTCCCCCTATATGTCGTTTTTTTCTATTTTGAGTAAAAAGGTTAAAAAGGTGAAAGTAACTTGTGTAAAAAGAGTGTGTTGCTTGACAGGAGAACAATGTAAATGTTTCTGCACAGTACTGCAAGTCTGCAACACATAAATTGATTAAATTCTAAGTGAAGCTACAGTTTAAGGATTATATCCATCAGTTTTCTGATTCCACCAAGCACATAAGTATGGGAAGAATAGCAAAAAACAGAGGAAAACGGGAACTTTCACACAGATGGTATTATATCTGCAGCTCCAAACCAATCCTTTGATGTATCACAAGCTTTTTCAAACTTAATCAAAACCCTAAAAGGGCTCAGTTGATGTTAAAATGCATGGTATATCTTACTCAAATCTTAAAAAAAGACTATTCAATTTCTGTTTTTACAAAAGAAAGTGTAAAAGATCAGAATTAATACTAGTTTATATTGTTTATTTCTAGCCCTAAGTATCCATATTTCTTCAATTTGATTCTGGAGATTGCATTTTCAAAAGTGTTTTACATAATATGTCATTCACATTGAATTTCTCCAGATGAAAGTTTATATACATGCACCATGCTAAAAAATTCTGGTGCAAGACAAACAAGAAAGTGAAACTTCTAGACAATAAATACAAAATCCTGCACAGCACTAAAGTTAAACATCTAGTTAATGGACATGGGAATCTGTAAAAAGATAATAATATTAATTACATAATGCCCATATAAGTTTGTTGGCTGTACAATTTTTTTAGAACAAAAGAAAAGAAGCATAATACTTGCATGATGTACCAATTATTTTAAGCCTTTCTTTTTCTGTTAAAGCTCAAGCAACCCCCTCTTACTACCCAATCCCATCTAACTAAACCTAATTAATAAAAACTCCGACAATGCTAAGGTCCGTTGGAGTATATGGTATAATTCCGTGTAAGTAATGTTTATTATTTTAACTTTGTTANTAATAAAATATTAATTTTTGAAAAAATTAAGTAATATTATTTGATAACTATTTGACTTAAAAATATTTTATGTAAAAAATTAAAAAAAAGAAAAAATGTTTTGTGGTTGAATTTAAAGTTCATAAAATAGATGATTAGTATGAAGTTATGGTATCATATAAACGTCAATTTAAAATATATTCTCATTAAGGAAATTTTATAAATGAAAATTAAAAGACAATAATATTAGTATCGTAAAATGCTTAATACTGTAAAACTCTTGTGTATTACGCAGGTGTTAATTAAAGATAGTATATTTAAAATGTAAATAATTTTTTTTAAAAAAAAAATACGTGTTAAAAAACTTATTAGTAGTTTATTTAATTTATATTTACAAAAATAGATATATATTTTATTTTATATATTCATTATGAATGTCAAATAAAACATCGTCAACAGACATTTAATTTGATATATTATTATATATAAAAAAACGATAACAAATAAAAAAATATTAAGTTTTAAAATATATTTTATAATTTAATTTGACCAAGTATTTTATAATTATAAATGTCTTAATACACATGGACTACTTCGAAACACCAGAATTTGACAAATAGACTATACATGAACAAGTAATATGTGACATTAGTGTGCAATACTTTTTCTTTATGACAAATAAATTTTATATATATATAAAAAGGCTTGTTATTTATACTGCATATTAAAATATTTTATTGTTTTATACTATGCATGATTTAAAATTTAAATATATTTCTATTAGATGATCTAAATTTGAATATGAATTGCATAATAATCTTACAAAATCACACAAAAAAAAGGGTTGTGCGCTTGACTTTAACCACTATTTTGTACAAAAAGAAAATGGTCATAGGACCATGGTGAGTGGGCAGTTATGGCAAGAACATGGGTCTTAAACCCCTCCCTACTTGCTTCAAATTCTTTTAGTTTCTATTTGTTTTTTTCATCCCACGCTCAGAAAGCTTTACTATCTTATACGAAAATGGTCGGTTACTTTCTAATGGCCACACCAAACATCCATCAACATTGCTATAAATATAGCTTGTTATGTTTCATTAGCACCGCAAAATTTTTTTGATGCAAATTCTTGTTTCAGTTTACTCTGTCTTTCTTGACTCACTTGTCAACATCATCTCAAAAAATTCAAAACCTTAAACAATGGCTCCTTTTAGTTCTCTTCCCATGTTTGCATGCACTTTTTATTTGGTTTTGAGCCTTAGGATTTTCCAAGGCATTGCAAGATATCATCACCATCATAATAGACACTCTCATAGTCATCGCGGGTCGCAAATTTCCACGCCGCCATCATATCCTCCAAGCCCGCCTCCCGAAATCTGCTGTAATAACGGCACTTTCGATGTTAGAATGTTGGGTGCAGTTGGAGATGGCATTACAGACGATACGGAGGCATTCAAAACGACTTGGGACATCACGTGTGGGACCCACTCAGGTGTACTGCTCGTGCCTTACGGCTATACATTCATGATCCAGCCCACTATATTCACTGGTCCGTGTAAAAACGGGTTTGTTTTTCAGGTATTTTTTACTCAAACCTTGATT